CAGCTGGGTTTAACCAGCTGTGTTCCCTTGCCTCATGAGACATGTTAACGTGTCTGCTCCCGCTTCTGTACTTCCAACAAAGCAGGTATGTCAGTGAGCCACCACCCAGAGCAAAACATGGTCCCTGGAGAGGATAGAGGGGCTCAGTCCCCGTCATAGCATCAGCCCCCTTATTGTCAATCCCTTCTCTCCATCAGTGAGTTGTCAGGCTCTTTCTATAGACCCTGCCTCAACTCTTGAATGAGTAATAATAATAATAATCAGCCCTGCCTGAGGCAAGTCAACTTTCTGTTACTCTGCAGTCACCAGCAGTTAGGTAAAGTATGTTTGATGCTAACTCTTCTTGCTCCAATTGCAATGCAGGGCTCGGAGCATTGGGTATTTATAGAGAGAGAAACTCCTAGGCTGGAAGCAGTAGCTCTAAAGAAAGCTCTGGCAGTCAAGAAAGAAGAAGCACGTGCAGGTACCTCAGAGGTGAAAATGAGCGCGAGCGTATCGAAGGTGGAGATTGGAAAGCCAAGGAAGTGGCAGGCAAGGAAGAGCCAGCAGATGCAGCTCTGGATACCCGGACAAGAGCCAAAATGATCGCTAGTCCAGAGGATTTTGAGTCTGTCTGGGAGGATGAGATCTATGAGAAGGAAACCAGGGGGGAGCCCAGCCGGGAGGCAGAGAGCCTGCCAGCTGAGAGCGCTGAGGAGGAGCCCCAAGAGCAGGGCGAGGAAGCAGCCACCAGTGAGCCGGGTCTGCCCAAGCCGTGTCAGCAGCCTGGAGAGAGGCAAAGGGACAAGATTTTGGGGCCAGAGCCTCCCCAGGGAGACAGCAAGGTGGTCTCCAAGGAGCATGCTTCTGCAGCCTCCAGGAAGCAGGAGGCCAGAGTGCCAGCTGCAGCCACAGAGCTCGTTAAAATTAAAGTGAAGGCTAGTGACGACAGCTCGGAGACTTCTGCGACGCAGAGGATCATCTACTTGGGAGATCCAGAGGTGGAGGAGAAGGACAATAAAACACACCTGCTCTCGGAGACCGGTGGACGGCTTGACTCGGAGGAGAGTCCAGAAGCCACGGTGACCACATCCAGGGAGGGACCTGAGCATGTGGCACCTGCAGCAGAAGGGTCCCAAGCCCCCTCCTCAGCAAGTCAGCAACACGGGGCAGTGTCTGAAAAACCTGCTGAAGCTCCGGAGCCTCCCGGGACAGGCTGTGATAACACCAGCCTGGCGGGATGTCCCACCTCAGGGCGGGAGGACGGGCTGCTCCTGCAGCGAGAGGAATCATCTGCTGAGCTGACAGGCTGCGAAGCACCCGAGGGAGGTGACGCCCTACCACGCTCCCAAGAGCTGGGAACAGAGGAGATGGATCTGCAAAGCCCAGTGGGAGGCTTGAGGACGTGTGGCCTGGCAGGGGGTGGCCGTGGGGCTGAGGAGCACAGAAGAAGCCCCGTACAGAGCCCAGACATCTGCGCAGCAGTGGAGGGGCTCTCAGGAAGGGTTGTAGCAGATGGCGACAAAGAGAAAAGTGCCAGAGAGGTTCTTCAGATGGAAGAGATACAGACCAAGTCTCCTTCATCAGCTGTGCCGTGGCAGGGTCACCCTCACACCACCGCGGGGGCGGAGGGGAATAAACCCAGTGCTCCTGTCCCTGCACCCTTTCCCCACCAACCCAGGCTGGTCTCTGCAGAGCCAGCCCCAGGCACCGAGCCCGAGGGCAGAGACCTGTCCCGGGACACCAGCCCTGCAAGAGGTGCGGCCATAGCCAAGGGTGCGAGCCCCACCGCAGAGGTGGCATGCAAGGAGGCAAGCCCTGCGGTAGGCAAAGGAGCACCCAAGGACATGAGCCCTGTGTCAGAGGTGGCAATATAGGTGGCATGCAAGGAGGCAAGCCCTGTGGTAGGCAAAGGAGCACCCAAGGACGTGGGCCCTGTGTCAGAGGTGGCAATACCCCCGGGCACCAACCCCGAATCTGAAGAACAACCCCAAGACATGGGCTCTGCTACATGGAAACCACACCAAGGTGCAAGCCCTGTTGTAGGAGGACCACCCCGAAACACAGACGCTGCAGCAGAGCTGATCCAGGTGAGAGACCCGGACGCAGGGGAGGTGACCAAGGACGTGGACACTGTCACAGCAAGGGCAACCCAGAGTGATGTCTCTGCCATGGAAGAGCCGCTCCATGAGGAGAAGCCCATGGCAAAAAAGATGTCCCAGGACATAGAGCCCACATCAGGGAAGCTGGCTGGAGATGAAGGCTGTGGGATGGAAGAATGGTCCTATGACAAAAACCCGTCCTTGGAAGAGCTGCCTCCCAAGGCAGAAGAACCGGAACAACAGACTGAGGCCATAATGAGAGACCTGCCCCAAGAGGGTCCCGTGGCTGAAGGGCTGCTCCACACTGCAGGTCCCAAAGCACAAGAGCCACCCTGGCACTTGGAGTTGAATGCGGGACAGGATCCGCAGGACAGGAGCCCTACGATGGGAGAAACTGCCGGGGACAGTGACCTCGCTCCAGGGCAGCCACCGCAGGATAAATCTCCTCTCAAAGAAGCTGCTGCTGCCCTGCACTCTCCCTCCCCTGGAGAAGGATTGTGTCAAGAAAGCAAGACATGCCATCTCTCTACCTTGGACCGTGATGATGGAGGAGAGCTGCAAGCGAGCAGGGGGACCCATCAGATGGAGTCTGGGAGCAGAGGAGCTGTGTCCCAGGCGCGTGGAGAAGTCACTGTGGCCCCAGGTAGCTGGCAGGACAGCGACAGCTACAGGAAAACCTCAGTGGCCTCTAAGATTAAGATGTTTGAGCAAAGCGAAGTGGAGCGAAGGGCAGCCCAGGAGGGACAAGAGCACGCGCCTGAAGCTGAGACACCAGCAACAGCAAAGGGGAAGACGTGGCTGGTGCAGGACGTGCCTCTAAACACAGGACCTGCGTCTGGTGTGGGCTTCGCAGCCCTTGGGCAAGGGGCTGGTTCAGGAGACGCCTCCCAGCCTCCCATCCTGAAGGAAGACGCTTCTGTTGATGTGGAGCACAAAGGAGAAGACAGTGCTGACCCGGCCTCCCCTGACTCTGGCTGCGAACTCACGCTGGCAGAAGCCGTGGTAACTCTTCCAATGAACTGTCCGGACGGAAAGTTCATGCGCATGTTGTGTGGCTCTTTCTTATCATGTTCAGTGGCTCCTCACACATCCATTGACTGACAGCAGTCGCTTTGCATCCCCTGTCCTTTTATGTATGTGTGTGTGGTCGGGCTTATTTGCTGAATGCAGACCTGCTGGCCAGTTGGTTCATCAGCTTCTGTTTTGTGACACCCTCCCGACATTTTGGCTCCCTGGAGAATGCCGCTCGCTAAACCCGAGAGCGGGCGCCCAAGCTTCATGTCCAAGGAGCAAGAAAGGGAGACGGGGGGTGGCTGAAGGAGCTGCGACTCCGCCAGGGACACGCACACGCAGCCCGCAGCGGCGTGCCCACGCTTCTAGCTTCACCCTTGCATTTCTTACGTTGATACCCCTTCTTGCTTAGCTCGCCGGCCTCACCCACCCTCCCCTGTCTTCGGCAAGCTGGTGGCTGGATGATGAAACAGCTTTCTTCGCTCCTGTAAGCACTAGATCAGCTCCCGTAGAGTTCGTTTCCTTACAACTAACCGTTTTCTCTAATCCAGAGCAAATCTCAGGAGCCAAGTGGGGAAGAAAAGGATTTATCTGACCCGTCAGTAAAATCCAGCCCGAAAGAAGAGAATTTAAAGACTGCTGGTCCAGTGGTCTTCCAGGTCTCAGTGCTGTTTTACTAACTGCTTCTTATCGTAGTACGAGAGCTCACCTTAACCGGCCGAGGGCTGTGTGCTTCCAGCTCCTCTCCCCATCACAGAGCTGTTATGTATAGATTTATACATACACACACACACACACACAAAAACATGTATGCAGGCGTGTTCCTCTTCGGTTTGTCTGACACCCTGTTTCTCATACCTCTCAACCTCCCAGCAGCGCCAAGGGAAGGTTGCGCCAGCCCAGCCTGGCCGTTGGAGGGATGGCTCTGGCTGCAAACACTTGCACCAGGAGGTGGGTTTCCTCTGGCATCAGTGGGCTTAGAGCTGTTCCTAAGCGAGAGCTGCCTAGATGCAGAGTGCAGCAACAGGTGCAGATTTCCTAAAGTCCAGCCATGGGTCTCGATTGCCTAAAGCACGGGTCTAGATTTCCCATGGCTTCGTGGCGAGGGGAAACGTACCCTCTGATGGTGGAGTTGAGAGGTATGTCCATGTCTGGAGAAGAGCTGATGGAGGGAAGTCATCCCTTGGCTCTGATCGTGCTGTCAATTACACTGACCAAACGCTCAACCGGGTCACCCTTATAAGACTCAGCCCCCCTGCCTGAGGCC